TCTTTCCCTCTGCTTCTGAACATTCTCCTACCATAGGGAAGCGCTTTTCTTCAGCTTAATGGCAGCTTAACCCGCCTATCCTCTAGCACCTCCTTGTACTCGAAGATTCGTTCAAAAGTTTGTAGCCACTCAAGGAATTAATCTGGATCCATGCCACCTTTGAACTTGGGTAAATCTACCTTGATTTTGTAATCTTTGCGTCCCCCCACTAGTATCTCCTCTCAGGGGTTCTCCCTGAGGGAGGGATTCAGATATCCCTCTCTAGGCATCATCTGATATTGGACCCTGAAACGTCAGGGGTCTGCCTTCATTATCGTTGAAAGTCTCCTCATGGAAAGGATTCAGATCATCATTTCCTTCTCCCCTTCGACTCTCCAGATTCGGGTCGAAGGTAGCCTCCTCCTGTTTAACTCTTCAATCTCGCAAGTCTTTGTTGGGGACGACAGAGCTTCCGCCTTATCTATTCTTAGGTAGGCTCGAACATGTATCTCCGAGGGGGCATAGCTACGGTTTAGGAATAGGAAAAAAAATTTTGGTGAAGATGGGGTTTGAAGAAATCGAAAGAGGTGGTTGAATGTAGGAAGAAAAATTTTGGTGGAGGGGTAAGGTGGATGCTAGGAAACCCTAAGATAGAACTAGGGTTGAGCTAGTTCTGATACCAAATGATATTGGAACTAGTGAGAAAAACAGTGGATACACGATAGTAAACTTTTATTAATATTAAAATAGAGTTACAACAAGACAAACGGAAAATAACAACACCCAAAACATAAAATGACACAAGCAGACACCTCTCAAGTGCATTCCAAGGGTGGTGGATGTAGGCCGGGAGAGTCAGTATAGCTAGGGAGCATGGCGGCAGCAAAAAAATGCTGATGGCAATGAGAAGTTGCAGAATCGCAGGGACAACGTAGGTGACCGGCGGAAGGCGGAGGGGGGGGGCTGGAAGGGGTTGGACAAAAAGGGCAGTAGTAGTGGGGTGAAGAACAGTCGGTTGGGAGTGTTGGGAAGGAGGGAGTGTGGCTGGACAGCAGTAAAACCTGCCGAAAAGGGGGTCGATTGGGTGTTGGGTGACGGAAAAGGGAGGTTGGCGGCTGGAATATAAAAGGGAATGATACAATCACCACCTATGAGAGAATATATCTGGAGCACCACCACCTCCTCGGATACAGCCAACAAAGGGGAAAAGGACTCCACACAGGAATCTGAAAATAAACAAAACCAAATATTGACTCTTACACAGAAATAGTAATTTAAAGACTCCTACGATGAAAAAATAGGAAAGAAATAAAAGGGAAAACTCCCACACAAAAGGAAGGCAAGAAGAATCCAGAAACGCTTCCCAGGTGCAGTAGCCTCCTTCCCGGATGGTGATAGTTCGCAATCCTGATCCTGCTTCGCATTTCTCCATGCTTTCGCGCGGCTTCTCTCGCAGCATTCAATGCCTTGAACCGGGTGCTGTTTTAGCGCCTTGGACTGGGCGCTTAAACAGCTTCCACATCATAGTTTTTGCAGCATTATTTGACAAAAAGCAAATGCCCATATTCCAACTTATAATTTGAACTCGATATATCAACATGCAGAATAACTATCTTTAATGAATATAGATAGCACAAAGCAGAAGGACGGTAAAATAAGAAAGAAAACCAACAAACCTGAAGCGTACCACGAGGGATTTTCACGGCATCTAGGTGGCTTACAAAGGTATCCCAGTTCCTCTTTATTATATCAAATGCACGAACAACCTGCTAATACCATCCACAAGCACCACAAATTGCTCAGGGAATTGAATAGACAAAATCAGAATCATATGAATTGATCAACAAGTACAAGTGATTCTATGGTTCATTAAAAATGTTACACCAACCCCCTTCCCCCATGGAATTGAATTTAAGGGAAAAAACAAAGAAAAAGGAGTAAAGTATCAAAATAGTCGATAATTTATTTAGATAGGGCTATTTTATTCTCTAAGCTTATGAAAGTGTCAAATTAGTCCCAATTTGTTTTAATGGAGTTTAAAATAATTCTTATTGGAGACTATTTCAATCATATTAAAAAATTATAAAAACTAAATTTACATTTCTTTAAACTCTGAGGCTAAAATGACCGCTTATAAAGAGTTCAGGGACAATTTTGACACTTTTCTCTCAAGAACAAAAATATATAAATTCTAACATTGATAAAGTGGGACCACCACTGGCATCATGAGTCGGAACCCATTTGTATGGCTTAAGCAACATATTGCCAAAATGTTAAAAGTTACAATAGTTCTTATTTCACGGAATCTTAAACTAACAGCTAATCAACGAGTATAACATGCCCGATCCCAAAAGAAAAAAAGAGAGATAATGGATGGAGAGTATACATTAAAGAACAATCCATCATAAAGTTACACCGGCTTAGCCTCAAGGAAGTTTAGTCTTTTCTTAACTTAAGGGCAGTTTAATCTTTCATTATTTATTATTGTTTAGTATAAATAGACCCTAATAGGTTTAGGGTTGGGGATGCATGAGATTGTGTCTGGAGTTTTAGGTTTAGAGTTTGAGAGAGATTTTCTATCTTGCAAATTATAGAAATTGGGAGAGATTGTTCTCCAACTGTAGTTGTTTATTTCTTGTATTTGAGATTAGTGTTTGATGTTCTTGCAATAAAACGTATGTTTGTCCTAAATTTTGTGGAAAATCATGCAGATTTATGGGTCAAATCGTATCAAATTGATATGAGAGAGTTTTGATCCGAGAAAAAGGAATCGCCGAAATCTCTTTTCCTAGCAGCGCTAGTTGAAGAACGACGGAATCGGAATGTACAACAGGAGTATCGCTCACTGAGAAGCAACGAGAAGATCGTGAATCTCGTATTACAGTCGAGATATTTGGGGAGCATCGGCAGGATCGCGGTGTACTGAGTCATTGTGAACGAGATATAGCACCGACAACGAAATCGCGATTGCTATACAAAGCCTATGTGAATGCAATCCTTATCCTCCTATTAGAAGGCGATAAGGTTGAGGTTATTGAAATTTTGCGGAGAAAGCAAAGACCAAATCGCGGTTTTTGCGGCTTAGAGAGACTCAAAACGTCTTGTACTTCTCCTCCCGCTCTATTTTGATAATTGTGGCATACAGAGACCCAAAACTCGAGTGCTTGTTGGGAAAGTGACGGGGGATAAGTCTCCTATGAAGACTAATGAGCTAAGCTTGCTAGAAAGCATCGAGATTCAAGCCAATTTTGCCACAAGTTCGATGGGAAGATTGTGTCTTGCCCTATTGTAGAAAACTTGCAATTGGAGCTAGTTGACTACGATCGAGCGAAGAAAAATAGTCCTAATTCAAACCAACCACGTGATCGTAGCATACAGGCTTCAAAAACAACTGGAAGTAATGGCAGCCAAAAAAATAGATGATTTAGAGAAATTAGAAAAACGTAAGCCAATTTATATCTAGAATGGTTGAGCATTTCTCGTAGATGGGGGTGTGATCTGTGTCCATATAGGGGTGATTGTCATCCATGGAGGGTTGATTTATGACCCTGGAAGAAATAATGAAGAAACTGCTCAAGTTTCACGCAAACCCACAACTGCCTATAGTAGGATTGAGCGACGACATCGAGAGAACACTCGAGCGGCGGCACTTGGAAGGAATAATGTGACATTCCAATAGTTAGAGCGAGCACCTGTAGGTAGAATGGGACGGCATACAATTCCATATTGAAGAAGATCAATTCGAAAGATTTTGACTTAAAACAGAGAACCACAGTAAGTGAGATAACGGCAAAGATTTGCATCCAATTGTGCCCGCATCTTTTGCTAAGGCAGCCTTCCTAGCGCCGGACTTAAGGAGGGAATTCAATATGGATCACGGAATAGAACCCAACCCACGCTTCATGGGTGGAATGAACTTCAGTCGAGAGAATTGGGAAGGAGACTCACACATAAGTTGAAGAAGCTGATTTTCGACGGGAAGACGTGCATGGGCTAAAATGAGAGGAGAAGCTCATCACAGTAAGGTTATGTTTGGAGGGAAAAACCCTAACATGATTTCCTTGGAGGGAGGCTAAATATCTGATCTGGTTGCGGGAAGAGTTTGAGGATTCTTTGTTAAAACGTTTCTAAGTCATTTGAGAAGGAAAGTTACACGAACAATTCTTTGCATTGACTCATGAAGAAACTGTCATGAAGTATAGCGAGAGATTCAAGCTCCATATTTGAGCATTTGTCGAGATGGTTGAGGATGATTTATGAAGCAGTGCTGGAAGGAAATTACATAAAGAGTCTAAAGCCCGACATACGTACAGCAATCGGACTGTTGGGATTGTGAGAATTGGAGGAGAGAATAGAGCAAACCAAAATTTAAGAACAAGAACCAGATGGAGAAGGACAGCAGAAGCAGCACCACGAGAGAATTACACAAGATTACCTCGACGACTATGACACGGAGGACCCATACGATGTCATTTCAGGGGGAGGAGCCGAAAGAGAATAATATAAAGGTTCCATCCAGAGATCAAATTCAAGTGTCTGACAAAAACAGAATCGGGAGAAGCAAGCTAATGGGCTATATTTTGTGTGATGAAAAATTTGCCCTAGGGCACCGTTGTGAGGATCTGACATTGCATGTTTTCAAAATGTGCGACAAGTAGGGAAGGGAGCTTGATCCAGCAGCAATTTCCTTTTTAACCACCTTGAGGACAACCTACAACCTTTTTTTTTTTTTTGAGAGGATTATTGTTATTTATTTCTACTTGGTATAAATAGACCCTAATAGGTTTAGGATTGGGGAGATTGTGTCTGGAATCTTAGGGTTAGGGTTTGGGAGAGATTTCTTGCCTATCAAATTGTAGGAATTGAAAGAGATCGCCTACCTCTTAAATTATAGGAATTTATCTTTTGTATTAGAGTTAAGTATTTGATATTCTTGCAATAAAATATGTGTTTGCCTTAATTTCAGCGAAAAATCGTGTCAATTTATGGGCCGAATCGTATCGCATACCTATACAAATGTGAAAAGAATAAATCTTTTCATGGGAAGAGATTAATCGATCTCTAATACATGAAGAAAACGAAATGGAACATTTAGAATATAATAAAAATAATTTAAAAACAAACATAAAGAGAGATATGAATAGACATAGTAAGTCTTTTATTTCACAAATGCGGGAAAAAGAGAAAAGGCGTACCCTTTCTAAAGGAAGGAAGAAAGCTGAAGCACTGGATGATTTGCTGCCAGCATTTAAAGCAACTGCTCTTCCTTGACAATCAATTACAGGTGAGCCACTTGAACCTCCTTTGGTACCAGATGCAGCCTACATTATTACATGACATTTTGAACTCAAAGAACACTTCATTCAAATATAAACTACATTCTTGATGTACCGTATTAAGCATGGAACTGTTTTAAAAAAGTGCTATTCTCAAAGTTGTATTAGAAAGCATATCATCGATTAACATAGTACGAAATGCAAAATCAAAACAATTTCTAATTTGCTGAATCTAGCTACCAATAAGAGTGTTAGCGCCCTGAAATGCTTCGAAGAGATACATAGTCTGGAGAAAAAGAAATTTCTAAAGCAATTCATATCCAATTATCAGAAATTTCAATTAATGACAAAGAAAAAAGATTCCTTGGGCATATTATTCAAACTCCCAGGAAAAGAAACAAACCTTAAAGATTATTCACAACTTAAAAAAATCAACATAATCATTCTTCATGCGTGTGGGCCCTGAAAATTCTCACTTGGCTTTCCTGAGAGAGTTTATTATGTTCCTTTCTGAATCAAATTTTGATAAAGTGAGTTAAACTTTAAAATAAGAAGCTACTAAGAGATTTCGCCATAATTTTGTGAGGATATTAAGATTTAGTTTTAAGTTTCCTATATGTGCAAATTCCTACAGTTATTTACCTCCCTTGGTGGTGAGATACATCTTTCGTCAAAAGCTAGTAATTAGAACTGTACAGTGTAATATAGCAGCAAATTTTGTTTTAGATTGAATATTTTGTCATCTTCTACTTAAAAGCAGATAGTGGAGTTCACGATTACAAATTCCATCAAGATTTCATAGTTTTGCATCTGAGGATGTTATGAACCTTGATCTACTTGGTCAAAAGAGGTAATCAACCCAACCTGAACGAAAGAGTCGTGTCGCATCCATGGGTTACATTGTCCAAATGAACCTTATAAATTTGATGTAGATATTTATCTAAGAATGTAGATATTCGTATAAGAGAATAAATTTAAATCAAATCGCTCCTCTTTGTAGTGTTATTTAGGGTTAAAAACACTGGAGCAAAAGACAAATGCCACATTCTTACAAATGTGTGGTCTTTTAAGAATGCTTAATATGACATTGCATCTACATGAGGAGAGGTTAAACTTAAACTTGTCAACCCCATTAAACTATAGCAAAAGAAAGATGTATTTCGTTCTTAGCTTAAGCAATGGACTTCACTTGAATGCTGTAAATTTCATGTTGTTAAATATTTCTACATGTAAATTATTTCATTTAAATTTAGGCCCCAAAATAATTTGCATAAGATTCGAGAAGTATTACGAAAATAGAGTCCATCCAACAGAAATTTACATTCAACACAGACTACACAATCATCATTAAAATATTTATTTTTTACAATACTTGTATTTGTAAGTTGAATTTTTTATTTTGAAAATAGACCTCTCAATTTAAGATTTTATTTCAATGTGGCCACAATTTGGGGGTTTGAATTGTTAAAAATTGTTGCTTGAGCCATGTCAACAACACGTGCTAACTTGTAGATGGACGATTCATAGCTAGCATTGATTTAAACTTATATAGATATTTGCCTATGTCTTTGAAACTTTACCGCATGTATAAAGGATCGTGTCGATATACTCGATTAGCATTATAAGTATAATACCAAGAGTGAGACCTAAAATTGCTATTTTATCACCATTTGTTTGAAAAGTTATTCTTTGAATATCAAGAGTGTTGTTTACGTCTTGTCATTAGACATGGACATTGGACGGGTGGCTCGAAGGGCTCGCCATAAGCCCACCTAAAATGGGCTGGGCTTGGCTATGAAAAATAGAAATTTAGCCCGAGTCGGCATTGACTTAGACAAAAACCAAATAAGCCCAACCAGCCCAATGGCCATGTCTCATAGGTATAGCTCGTGATTGTAAGCTTTTGATGTGGTTAATTTCCCCTTTCTCCTCTCTATCTAGCCATAAATTTATATTTTTACATTAATACTAACAAGATCATTCATATCACATAAAAATTATCATTTTTTATTTTTAAAAAAAAATTAAATACACTTTCATGCACCGAAAAGATAGCAAATATGTAAAAATTGAAGTTCGCGTGTTAGTCATGAAATTAAAAGAAATTGATAAGCGGTATGTAAATCTTTTCTTTTTTTGTATTTTACTCAACTTCTATGTATTTAAATATCGAGATATTCTGAGTTTAAAATCTTACATATTCAATGTGTATAAACTTAATTAAATTCACATAAACATATAAGAAACAATTTGTACATATAAAAACAATTTAAAACTCTTGTTGCAGATCCTTGCAACCACTCAATTACGTAATTATTTCAATATTTTAAATCAACAGCATGATTCGAGGGAAAATGTTAAAGATTTTATTAATTATTTACTTTTTTAAAATTTAATAATACAAAAGCAAGTAATTAAAATTTTAAACTTATATTCATTTTTTTTTAAAAGATAATAATTTAGAGACTCATTCAAATTAAATTTAAGCAAAATTATCTTGACTTTTTTTTTTTCTAATCAAGGGAAATGAGAATGAGTATTGGAATAAAAAATCAATTTTATTTTAAGGACTAGCTTTGAAATTGTAATTAGAAACCGGGCTTAAGCCCGGCCCAAGCCCGCTTTGACTGCAAAGCTCGAATAAGCCCGGCTCACGCCAAGGTCGGCTCGCCCAATGCCCAAGTTTACTTGTCAACCTCAATATTTGAATGTGGAGATTAGGAGTTAAAGAGTGAGACTTACAACTCTGTCTTATAGGAAAAGCAACCCATTCGAGAACATCATACAACACATTTTTAAAAATTAAGTTTTAGAAAAGAAATCTTATTCATATTTTTTAAAAAGCATCATTACCTTGTGGTTACATGCTTCACAAAGCAAGATAATTTTATGTTATCCTACATAAAATTTTCAAGCATTGAGTTTGAATGCTTCAGCAGATTTGCCATAGCACACGTGAATGATACCAAAATTTATCAAACACCCAAGGGAAAATAATTGTTATTGCTGTATTAAAAATCTAAAATTAAAAGATCAAGGAAAGTGGAAATTACAACAAAAATAACACGACACTACAACTAGTGTTGGATCTAAGGTTTACGTGGTGTCGGTTAGGGGTTTGGACCTCCAGGGAAATGGCAAGGAGGTTAGCCAACAAGCTGGAAGGTGACGACAATAATGGGGAAAGCGAGGATAGCAAGGGGAAAAATGACGAGCAGCAGGAACAGTGGTGGGAGTGTTGTTCTGAGTGGCAGCATAAAAAAAATAATGAAGGGTGTGGGAGTGTTGCGAGAAAGGTTGAGTAAAAGGTATAAGAAGAGCCAGGACCCGATCCGGGGATTGGAGTTAATAAAGACGAGAACAGACGATCGGACGTGGAAATAAATTCTCTATTATTCTAATTTTATTAATAATAATTTAATATTTAAATAATACACGAAAGAGACGCTAAAGAAAGCAATTAAAATTAACAAGTAAAAATTATACATTTCTTGTTGTTCTCGTCTTTCGTATACATTTGTTTATCTACTATTCATTTTGTTCAAATGTTTAAAAGCTAGAAATAGTATGAAAGCAACATAATGAGATTTCTAAAGATAAACCAGGAATAATCACACTAGTAAATTATAGTAATCCAAGGAAAAGAGTACAATATGTATGTGTCTATAAAAAAACGTATAATATGCTAGTCTTCCATATTTATTTATAAACAATCTGATATAAATTTATAAACAATCTGATATAAATTTATAAACAATCCGACATATGTTTATAAGTAATTTGATATATGTTTATAAGCAATATGATAAATGCTAATACATGCATCAATAAATTTTCTAAATAAACAAACACTAATATATGCATTTATCTTAACTTTATTTTTTACTTTATATTTTACACGCACATATGTTTTTGTGAGAATCACCGTCAACAAACCTAACACACCCTTGGCCGATATTGTTCGGTCGGCTTCCGTCAGTTAGCGATCAACACATCAAAATTGCTTAGGGTGTAATGGTCATACCTACCTATGATCGATATTATCCGGTCGACACAGTGGTTAGTAATGTAAACAATACAATTGTTTGAGGAGGTAAGCTCTAGTCTGCTTGCACCTGACCAATATTATCTCGTCTATACAGCGGTTAGTGATCTAGCTATGACAATTGTATGTGGTGGTAGAAAAACTCTACACGCGCGGGTACAATAGAGTCTCATGTTTGTACCATTAGAGAGTGAAATCCTCCTTTAAACATGCACAAGCAAGCATTCACATACAAGTTATTTCATTCTTCATACATACATTATTCTAGGACATTTTTATGCATATACTAACATGCAAGTTTATTCTATTGTGCAACTATTCATCAAGTATATCCTTCATATCATTTATAAGTATATCTCATGCATATCTCTTATAACTATCTCATACATATATCTTATATCATGGATATCCTTCTTATATGTATATCTTACATATAATGTCTGTCTAAGTATCCTGCATCTCATGTATATCTTTCATGTAAGCACATTTTTTTCTACTAAGCTTATCATGCATATGTCATATCAATATGATGATGATCGGTTTAAACAAGAGCATATATGAAGTCAAACATACAATTTGAAATAAAAAAAAATACTGAAATTTAGAAATACAATTATTCACCTCAGTTTCTATGCTAAACACTTAATTTTCAATATCTAAGATAAAATCTGCGGTGACTTTTAAGTTGATTTCAATAGCCTATAAAACATAATATTCATTTTTTTATGATTTAACATATTTTTATTAATCAGATTAATCTTCTTAACTTGATATTAATTTACCTCTAATTTATAGGGTCGCTTTACAGTGAAATTCCATACTCTCTCCTCGAGTCTATCACCCCAGTAAATAACCTAAAATTCGTAATTAACTTTAAATTTAAAAATATCTTGGCTCATAAAATAATTTAACCAAAAATATAAATAATTTGTTAATGCGTACTTAAACGGCTTTCTCGACGGTCAATTCTTCTCCAAAGCTGTTAAATTTACTATTTATT